TCCCTCGGGTGAGATGCATGTGTTTGGTTACTCTTTGCTTCTTTAAAAAGCTATTTACAATGAAAATAATAATATAAAAAAACCCTATCACATGCTCCCTACCTTGTCACCAAAGCCATGTTTTCCAAGTATCTGTACTTGTTTCCAACTTTTGCATTCCTTCCACCAATTATTATTGTCTTCTGATTGCATGTTTTATCAATTTCAGACTACAAACGTTGGAAGAAATCCTCAATTTCATCACCTTTGGCTTTAGTGCTTGGTGCATGTATTTAAATACTAGTTGCATGACAGATCTTCCTTTGTACGTATATAGGGATTATGTATCATTCTTCATATAGTGTAGCTTCTCATATGTTCAAGAGGAAAATATGATTCATATATCATACCTTGGCAAAATACAAGTGTCAGGATAGAATAAAAATATCCCAGGCATATGTCTTTTGACTAAACAAGGTGCAAATCCAGAGTGGAAGCCCGGGTGTTCAAAGCACAGGAGAGGGATGGAGAGCCCTGCAAGTCTACCCATTCAGGGTGGGGCCAGATGTGTGGAGCTACAAAGGAAAATATCTAAGACATAGCAAAGAGAGAAGCATTAGTGAAGACCTGATCCAGTTGGGGCAGGGGGAGAGAGAACACAAAAGACTAATTTCAACTTGTTTTTATTACATGCCATCGAGTTAGCAACCCTAGGTACAAGCACTCTGAAACCTGCCCTATCCTGAGCCAGTCTCACTGTCTCCAACACACCTACCCCATAACTGTATCAATCCATCTTATTTTCCTCTCCTTCCACCTTTCCAAGCATGATATCCTTCTTCAAGGATTGGTCCTTCCTGGCCATGTACCCAAATTTTGTGAGACAGAGCTTCAAAATCCTTGCCACCAAGGAGCAGCTTGGTTTCACCCTCTCCAATACAGACTTATTTGTTCTTTTGGTGGCCTATGGTATGTTCAGTTTTCATCTCCTCCAACACTACAACACAACCGCATCGATTCTTCTGCCAACCTTAGTCATTATCCAGCTCTCTGATGCATAGAAATTACGAAGACCATGCCCTGGATTGGGCACACCTTAAGTCTCCAGACTGGCATCATTGCTCTTTAGCACTTTGGAGACGTCACTGACAGCGGACTTCCCCAATGCAACTCATCTTCTGATTTCCTGATTGCTTGTGCCAAGAGTGTTGACTGTGGAGTCAGGCAAGCTGAAATTTTTAACCATCTCAATCTCTTCTCCATCTAAAACAGTTCTGTCAGTTGGCCCAGTGGTGAGAATCTCTGTCTTCTTAAGCCTCAACTCATATTGGAGACTAGTCTTCTCCAGTAAATGCTTCAAGTCCTCCTAATTTTCGGCAAGCAGGGTTGTGTCATGTGAATAACACAGGTTGATGAGGAGTCTTTCTCTAGTTCTGTTGTCACATTCCTCCTCACAAAGCCCAGCCTCCTGAACCTGTTCTATATACAGAGTGAAAGGTATGGAGACAAGATAAATCCCTGACATACTCCTTTCCTGATTTTGAACCATAAAGTGTTTCCTTGCTCTGTTCATATGACTGCTTCCTGGTCCAAGCATAAGTTTCATATAAGCACAAGTGTTCTGGGATTGCTATTTTTCTCAAAGTTAGCCACAATTTGTTGTGATCCACACAGTCAAATGCCTTTACATAATCAATGAAACAGACAGACATTCCTTTGGTACTCTTTGCTTTCAGCCAACATCCATCTTACACTGGTGATTATGTGTTACACCCTCTTCTAAACCTGGCATGTAATTCTGTCAATGTATTGTTCCAGTCAATTTTTTATAATCTTCAGCAGGATTTTGCTTGTGTGTTATAATTATTCAATAATTCCCACCCTCCTTTGGGTCACCTTTTTGGGAATGGGAATAAACATGGATGTCTTCCAGTTACAAGTCCTCCAGATTTCTTGGAATAACCTGGTGAGAAGATCCAGGGCAGCATCTATTTATTGAAATGTCAATTGGTATTCCATCAATTACTGGAGCCTTGTTTTTGCCAATTCCTTCAGAGCAGCTTGAACTTCCTTTGTCACCACTGTCTCTTGCTCATGTTGCTTTATTACATTCTTCTGTATCAGCCAATTATTTTTGGTGCAGTGATTCCATGGACTCCTTCCATTTACTTTTTTAAATTAAATTTTATTAATTTTAATGAATATTTACAGAGATTTTGGATTTCCAGTCATTCATTGTTGACTCCATTTATTTTTAATGCTATCTGGATCATTCAATATTCTGCCCATAGTATCCTTAGGCATTGCAATTCAAGGCTTGAATTTGTTCTTCCTTTAGCTTGAGAAATACCAAGTGAGTCCATTTCTTTTGATTTTCCAACTCAGATTTCTGCACATTTCACTGTAATACTTTGCTTTGTCCTCCTAAGCTGCCTTTTAAAATCTTCTGTTCAGCTCCCTAACTTCTTGCTTTGGCTTCTTTGGGCTCTAGTGCATTATTTAGTCTCTTCTGACATCTGTCTCATTTTTTTTCTTGCTCTTTTGTCTCTTTTTTGTCTAGCTTTTTTGTACTCTTCATGGATATCCTTGGTATCTTTCCACAGTTCATCTACTCTTCAATTACTAGTGTTCAAGGCCTCAAACCTGTTGAGATGGTTTTTAAATTCAGGTGGAGTAGATTCAAGGTCAAATTGTGGTTGCTTTGTCTATTTTGGAGCAAGCGCAATCAGAGTGCTTCTTAGAAGCAAGGATGGTGAGATTTTTATCTCACATATTTTGGTCATGTTGTTAGGAAGGGCTAGTTTTGGAAATGAACACTAAACTAGGAAATGTAGAGTCAGCAAATACAGGAAGACCCTCTATGTCATGGATGCACAAAGTGATTTACGACACTCACCTTGAATATATTGGAGCTTGTCAGCATCGTGCAGGATAGAGCAGCAAAGTTTGGATCTATTGTTTAGTGTCTTTGTGAGTTATGCATCTATATCAACAAGTTGGGTACTTGGATAGGCTTCACCTAGCCCAACTTGAATACCAACAAGGAATTGACCACAGTGAAAGGGGCACGTGGTTCCAGAGAAGGGAAGGATTGCTTAGTTTTCTGGAATCTGAAGAACAGGCCATCAACATGGTAAACCAGCTCTCCCTTCGTGGGAAACAAACAGCCAAATATTACTAGTGACTCTTTTAGCATACAACTTGTGCTGTGGATGAAAATCAGACAGAAGTAACAGTATTTCTGAATAATGAACTATCCAGCCAGGCTTCTTAACTCTGAACTTGTGAGTGAAAGCTACTTCATTTTATCTTACGTGTGAGGTGAAGTATCTTACACGCAGCTTAATGCATACATGACTATATTCATGTAGAGTTGGAATCAACTCATGGCTGATCCTCCAGTTAGTTTTTAGAGGCAGTAAACTGCACGAGATTTCTCATCCTTCTCTCCAGGAGCAGCTGGTGAATTTGAAGCACATACCTTTGGGACAATAGTGCAGCTTCTTACCACTAGGCTATCAGAGTTCCATCATGTGTAAAACAGCTAAAAAGTAGTTACATACAGAGCAATGCTAATAAAATAATAATAATGTATATGATTACATAAAATAATATGTACACAATTATTTATAGGTAAATATATGCAAATCAATAAAAATTAAAAACCCAGTATGGTCCTACTTTTGATGAGTATATAACAAATGTGTAAGTATGATCATACATTAATAGCTGCAATCAATCACTGGTAGAGTTTTTTCTTTATGCTTTTAAGCATTTAAAAAATTTTTTTAAACATTTATTATTTTGTGTGTGTGTGTGTACCATCAAATTGGATCTGACTGGTACAGGAGAAGATTGCCCCTCCTTCTCCAGCAGAGCATCTGGTGGATTCAAACTGCAGTCCTCTAAGGTTGCAGTGTAGCTTCATGCCACTAGGCAATCAGAGCTCTCTTCTTTTATGCATTTTTTGAAGTTCTCTATAATGATTTGGGCTGTCAGATTTTCTTCCTACATTCTTCCCTTGCTGTCAAACTTATTAAAAACAATGTATTTTACATATTTTTGTTATGTACCATAGAGTGGCCTATGCACAACAGTCCTAAACCATGCTCTATCCTGTACCAATCTCATTGTCTCTGACACACCTACCTCCAGTACCCCACTGAATCAATCCATCTATCTCATCGAGGGTTTTCCTCTCCTGTGCTGTCCTTCCACCCAAGCATGACACCCTTCTCCAACAACCCTGGTCCCATCTTGCAACATGTCCAAAGTATGTCAGACAAAGCTTCAGAATCCTTGACTCCATGGAGCAGCCTAGTTTAACCCTCTCCAGAATGAACCTGTTCGTTCTCTTAGCAGTCCATGGTATATTCAATACTCTTCTCCAACACCACAGCTCAAAAGTTATCAATTCTCTATCCTCCCTAGTCATTGTCCAGCTCTCTAGAGCATAGCAAGTGATTGCAAAGACTATGGCCTGTATCAGGCACACTTTAGTCTCCAGACATTGCTCTTCAGTACGTCTTTTAATTTCCTGGCTGCTGGTGTCAAGAGTGTTGATTGTGGAACCAAGCAAACTAAAGAATCTCAATCTCTTCATCCATCACGATGCTGCCAATTGACCCAGTGGTGAGGATCTTTGTTTTCTTGATATTGAGCCTCAATCCATATTGAAGGCTAGAGTCTTTGACCTTCTACAGCAAGCGCTTCAGGTCCTCCTCAGTTTCGGCAAGCAGGGTTGTGTAATCTGCCTAAGGCAGACTGTTGATGAGTCTTCCTCCAATCTTGATGCCACATTTCTCCTCATAGAACTCAGACTCCCAGATAATCTGTTCTGCATATAGATTGAAATGAAATGGATTGGCCACATCCCTGGTATTATAAATGTGGCCTTTCTTCTGGCTATGATTCTTACTACATAACTTCATTTAAAAAAAAACCGCTTTTGCTCAGTCACTCATCTTGGTGTCCGCAGCATCTTCCACTGCTTTCCTGAGTGACGAGAACCGGCCTCCCAGAAATTCACCCTGTCTATTACAAAGATTCACGCCAGAGAGATCTTTGACTCCCGTGGAAATCCCACTGTTGAGGTTGATCTTTATACTGCAAAAGGTCTCTTCAGAGCTGCTGTACCCAGTGGTGCATCAACTGGTATCTATGAGGCTCTGGCGCTCCGGGACAATGATAAGACTAGGTATCTGGGGAAAGGTGTCTCAAAGGCTGTTGAGCACATCAATAAAACTATTGCGCCTGCCCTGATTAGCAAGAAACTGAATGTTGTGGAACAGGAGAAGATTGACAAGCTAATGATTGACATGGATGGAACTGAGAATAAATCAAAATTTGGTGCCAATGCCATTCTGGGAGTGTCTCTTGCTGTCTGCAAGGCTGGAGCCGTTGAGAAGGGGGTCCCCCTGTATCGGCACATTGCTGACTTGGCCAGCAATTCTGAAGTCATTCTGCCAGTTCCCGCTTTCAATGTCATCAACGGTGGCTCTCATGCTGGCAACAAGCTGGCTATGCAGGAGTTCATGATTCTCCCTGTCGGAGCAGCAAGCTTCAAAGAAGCCGTGCGCATCGGGGCTGAGGTTTACCACAACCTGAAGAACGTCATCAAGGACAAGTACGGCAAGGATGCCACCAATGTGGGGGATGAAGGTGGCTTTGCCCCTAACATCCTGGAGAACAAAGAAGCCCTGGAACTGCTGAAGACTGCGATTGGGAAAGCTGGCTACACTGACAAGGTGGTGATTGGCATGGACGTTGCTGCCTCAGAGTTCTTCCGCTCTGGGAAGTACGACCTGGACTTTAAGTTTCCTGATGACCCCAGCAGGTACATCTCACCTGACCAGCTGGGAGACCTGTACAAGTCCTTCATCAGGGACTACCCAGTGGTGTCTATCGAAGATCCCTTTGACCAGGATGATTGGAGCGCCTGGACAAAGTTCACTGCCAGTTCAGGGATCCAGGTGGTAGGAGACGATCTCACTGT